GAAAAATTTGATATTTTGGTGTTTATTTTTATGGGACTCAAAAAATGCCAGAACAGCGCCACCTACAACAGCCAAAATAATACCCCTATGGGACTTTTTGGAGGTCAAGTTTGTCGTAGAAACATGAGATTTGGTACACATGTTCCTTGAGTCAAGACATGAAAAAAATATTATTATGGCTCCGCCCTCTGACAAACAGGAAGCCCATAAATTTCACTGCAAAATGGAAAAATGAACAGCAAAAGTTTTCATACATGTCGGTTGGAAAGCGACTCCTCCTCGGCCGTTTCACCGATTCGCCTCAAATTCGCTCCACATCATCTCAACACATGTACCTTCAAAATGACCTCAGGGATTTTTGATCAGTGAAACATTGTTTGAGCAGCGGAGCGGCAAAATGTGACCTTTTTTTGGCCGTTTTTGACAACATTAAATTTGCTCCCGTTTGCACAAACAAAGTCTGATTTGCACAAAACTTTAATACATTGTTCAACTTTAGGGTCTAGGTCATTTGAAAGTTAAATGATTCACATTGACACATTAGCGCCCCCTACAGACTATTTCAAAGTTTTAGATGGGCATTTTCAAATTTAGTTTTTTCAAAATGTTTGAAATTTTGCACATAAAATCTGTTTTGCACTCTTGATTCAAAAAGTCAATAGGGTCCAAGGCTTATTTTTTACCCTGTTGCCGTGGCGACGACAAACGCTCCAGATTCATTGCAAATGTACACCTCACACAAACATCAAACTAGCCTCGGCCGTTTCACCTATTCGCCTCAAAATCGCTCCACATCATCTCAACACATGTACCGTCAAAATGACCTCAGGGATTTATGATCAGTGAAACGTTGTTTGAGCAGCGGAGCGGCAAATAGTGGCGTATTTTTTTTCAGTTTTTGACAATAGAAAAATGGCTTCCGTTTGGACAAACAAAGTCTGATTTGCACAAAACTTAAATCCATGGTTCAACTCTTGGGTCTAGGTCATTTGAAAGTTAAAATTTTGAAATTGGCTCTATAGCGCCACCTACAACAGCCGATTTAAAAATGCCTATGGGAGGGGTTCGAGGTCAAAATTGTCATAGAACCATGTAATTTGGAACACATGTTCCTCAAGTCAAGACATTGAACTTGTTTTATTATGGCTAAGCCCTCTGACAAACAGAAAGCCCATAAATTTCACTGCAAAATGGAAAAATGAAAAATAATCATTTTCATACATGTCGGTTGGAAAGCGACTCCTCCTCGGCCGTTTCACCGATTGGCCTCAAAATTGTTCCAAATCATCTCAACACATTTACCTTCAAAATGACTTCAGGGAATTTTGATCAGTGAAACGTTGTTTGAGCAGCGAAGCGGCAAAATGTGAGGGTTTTTTTGGCCGTTTTTGACAACATTAATTTTTTCCCGTTTGCACAAACAAAGTCTGATTTGCATTAAACTTGAATCCATTGTTCAACTCCAGGGTTTAGGTCAGGTGAAAGTGAAATATTTGAAATTGGCCCATTAGCGCCCCCTAAAGACTGAGCCAAAGTTTACATCGGGAGCCAAACCAGCTCTACTTATCATATTCATTCAAATTTGACTAACAATCTTCTATGACTACGGGAACAAATCATCACACGGCGGCGCCACCTCCTTTGAGCGGTGCTGCGTGGTACGGTGTGGTGCGGCGTAGTGCGGGGCGTTGTGGAGCGGCGCGTTGCGGCTTGGTACGGGACGGCGTGGTGCGGGACGGCGTGGTGCGGGACGGCGTGGTGCGGGACGGCGTGGTGCGGGACGGCGTGGTGCAGGGGGGTGGTGCGGGGAGTGCGCGCGGTGCAGGGAGTCGCGCGGTGCGGCGAGGGCCGTTCGACGCCGCTTGCGGCTTTAATTAGGCCCGAGCCCCGAACGGGGTAAGGGCCTATTGCTTTCACAATGGTGAAAACAAATGGTGGCGGTGCGTGACGGACGCGTCAGCGCCCGTCACTCACCAAAATGTGACAGTTGCGTGCGTAAACTCAAAAGCTTTAAAATGATGTATCACATGCCATTGAAACCTATATTGTTTTTGCTCGAGACGTTAAAAAAAAAATTCCTTTTTTATTAGGCCCGAGCCCCGAACGGGGTAAGGGCCTATTGCTTTCACAATGGTGAAAACAAATGGTGGCGGTGCGTGACGGACGCGTCAGCGCCCGTCACTCACCAAAACGTGACGGTTGCGTGCGTAAACTCAAACGCTTTAAAATGATGTATCACGTGCCATTGAAACCTATATTGTTTTTGCTCAAGACGTTAAAAAAAAAATTCCTTTTTTATTTCTTTCTTTCTTTTTTCTTCTGCACTTTGAGCCTTAATTTGACCCCCTGAACATGCATGAAAAGTTGTTAAATTTTGCCCAAAAATCAGACCTGGCGAAAAATTTGATATTTTGGTGTTTATTTTTATGGGACTCAAAAAATGCCAGAACAGCGCCACCTACAACAGCCAAAATAATACCCCTATGGGAGTTCTGAAGATCAAGTTTGTTGTAGAGTCATGAAATTCGGTACACATGTTCCTCAAGTCAAGACGAGAAAAAAATATTATTATGGCTCCGCCCTCTGACAAACAGGAAGCCCATAAATTTCACTGCAAAATGGAAAAATGAACAGCAAAAGTTTTCATACATGTCGGTTGGAAAGCGACTCCTCCTCGGCCGTTTCACCGATTTGCCTCAAAATCGCTCCACATCATCTCAACACATGTACCTTCAAAATGACCTCAGGGATTTTTGATCAGTGAAACATTGTTTGAGCAGCGGAGCGGCAAAATGTGACCTTTTTTGGCCGTTTTTGACAAACATTAAATTTGCTCCCGTTTGCACAAACAAAGTCTGATTTGCACAAAACTTTAATACATTGTTCAACTCTAGGGTCTAGGTCGTTTGAAAGTGAATTGATTCAAATTGACACATTAGCGCCCCCTACAGACTATTTCAAAGTTTTAGATGGGCATTTTCAAATTTATTTTTTTCAAAATGTTTGAAATTTTGCACATAAATCTGTTTTGCCCTCTTGATTCAAAAAGTCAATCGGGTCCAAGGCTTATTTTTTACCCTGTTGCCGTGGCGACGACAAACGCTCCCCATTCATTGCAAATGTACACCTCACACAAACATCAAACCAGCCTCGGCCGTTTCACCGATTCGCCTCAAAATCGCTCCACATCATCTCAACACATGTACCTTCAAAATGACTTCAGGGAATTTTGATCCGTGAAACGTTGTTTTGAGCAGCGGAGCGGCAAAATGTGAGGTTTTTTTTGGCTCTTTTTCACAACATTAATTTTGCTCCTGTTTGCACAAACACAAAGTCTGATTTGCACAAAACTTTAATCCATTGTTCAATTCCAGGGTTTAGGTCAGGTGAAAGTGAAATATTGGAAATTGGCCCATTAGCGCCCCCTACAGACTGAGTCAAAGTTTACATGGGGAGCCAAACCAGCTCTACTTATCATATTCATTACAATTTGACTAACATTCTTCTATGGCTACGGAAACAAATCACCACACGGCGGGCCACCTCCTTTTAGCGGTGCTGCGTGGTACGGTGTGCTTGCGGCGTAGTTGGGGCGTAGTGCGGGGCGGCGCGTTGTGGCTTGGTGGGGGCGGCGTGATGGGGGACGGCGTGGTGCAGGGCGGCGTGGTGCGGGGTGGCTGTCACGGGGTGGTGCGCGCGGTGCGGGGAGTCGCGCGGTGCGGCGAGGGCCGTTCGACGCCGCTTGCGGCTTTAATTATACTTGTTCTAGCCCAGGAAAACCTGGGAAAGAACAAGTTTGCTGTTGTTTGATGTCATATTTGACCCACTGAACATGCACGAAAACTTACAAAATTTTGCCACAAGTTCTGTTCTTGCAAACACTTTATTAATTTTGTGTTCCCTAGTAAGAGACTTCAAATTTGAAGTTGTAGGGGGCGCAATTGTAGTCTAATAAAGCCACCATTTGCACATACAAAGTCCGATTTGCACCAAATTTGAATTGGTTGTTCAACTTTTGGGTTTGGGTAAACTGAAAGTGTAAAACATCAAATTGAGGCATTAGCGCCCCCTACAGAATGTCATTTTCACACATGTTGGTTGGAAAGCGACTCCTCCTCGGCCTTTTCACTGATTTGCCTTAAAATCGCTCCACATCGTCTAAACACATGTACCATCATTTTGATTTCAGCGATTTTTGATCAGTGAAACGTTGTTTGAGCAGCGAAGCGCCAAAAAGTGGCGTTTTTTTTTTTTAGTTTTTGACTATAGAAAAATTACTTCCGTTTACTCAAACAAAGTCCGATTTGCACAAAACTTGTTTTCATGGTTAAACTCTAGGGTGTAGGTCATTTGAAAGTGAAATAATTAAAATGCCAGAACAGCGCCCCCTACAACAGCCAATTTAATACTCCTATGAGAGTTTTGGAGTTCAAGTTTGCCGTAGAGCCATGAAATTTGGTACACATATTCCTCAAGGTAAGACATGAAAAAAATGTTATTATGGCCCCGCCCTCTGACAGACAGGGAGCCCATAAATTTCACTGTAAAATGGATAAACGAACAGCAATAATTTTCACACATGTCGTTTGGGAAGCGACTCCTCCTCGGCCGTTTCACAGATTCGCCTGAAAATTGCTCCACATCATTTCAACACATTTACCTTCAAAATGACTTCAGGGAATTTTTATCAGGGAAACGATGTTCGAGCAGTGGAGCGGCAAATAGTGACTTTTTTTGACGATAGAAAAATAGCTCTCGTTTGCACAAACAAAGTTTGATTTGTACTAAACTTGACCCGGTTGTTCTACTCCTGGGCCTGGGTCACCTGAAGGTGTAAAATATTACATTGGCTCTTTAGCGCCCCCTACATACCGAGCTAAAGCTTTACATGGGGAGCCAAACCAACGGATCAATATCACATACATTGGTCTATGGCTATGGTAGCAAATCATGGCGCGGCGCGGCGGCGCCACCTGCGGAGCGGCGAGTCACGCGGGGAGTCACGGGGAGGGGAATTGCGGGTTGCAGCGAGTTGCAGTGAGTTGCGCGGTACGGGGAATCGTAGCGGTGCGGGGAGTCGTAGTGCTGCGGGGAGTCGTAGCGCTGCGGAGAGTCGTAGCGGTGCGGGGAGTCGTAGCGGAACGGAGAGTCGTAGAAGCGCGCGGTGCAGGGAGTCGTAGCGGAGCGGGGAGTCGTAGTGGCGCGCGGTGCAGGGAGTCGTAGCGGTGCGGGGAGTCGTAGCGGTGCGGGGAGTTGTAGCGGTGCGCAGTGCGGGGAGTCGTAGCGGAGCGCAGTGCGGGGAGTCGTAGCGGAGCGCGGTGCAGGGAGTCGTAGCGGAGTGGGGAGTCGTAGCGGAGGGGGTAGTCGTAGCGGAGCGGGGAGTCGTAGCGGAGCGGGGAGTCGTAGCGGAGCGGGGAGTCGTAGCGGAGCGGGGAGTCGTAGCGGAACGGGGAGTTGTAGCGGAGCGGCAAGGTGCGGGGTGTCGCGCGGTGTGGCGAGGGCCGTTCGACGCCGCTTGCGGCTTTAATTTATTTCTTTCTTTCTTTTTTCTTCTGCACTTTGAGCCTTAATTTGACCCCCTGAACATGCATGAAAAGTTGTTAATTTTGGCCCAAAAATCAGACCTGGCGAAAAATTTGATATTTTGGTGTTTATTTTTATGGGACTCAAAAAATGCCAGAACAGCGCCACCTACAACAGCCAAAATAATACCCCTATGGGACTTTTTGGAGGTCAAGTTTGTCGTAGAAACATGAGATTTGGTACACATGTTCCTTGAGTCAAGACATGAAAAAAATATTATTATGGCTCCGCCCTCTGACAAACAGGAAGCCCATAAATTTCACTGCAAAATGGAAAAATGAACAGCAAAAGTTTTCATACATGTCGGTTGGAAAGCGACTCCTCCTCGGCCGTTTCACCGATTCGCCTCAAAATCGCTCCACATCATCTCAACACATGTACCTTCAAAATGACCTCAGGGATTTTTGATCAGTGAAACATTGTTTGAGCAGCGGAGCGGCAAAATGTGACCTTTTTTTGGCCGTTTTTGACAACATTAAATTTGCTCCCGTTTGCACAAACAAAGTCTGATTTGCACAAAACTTTAATACATTGTTCAACTTTAGGGTCTAGGTCATTTGAAAGTTAAATGATTCACATTGACACATTAGCGCCCCCTACAGACTATTTCAAAGTTTTAGATGGGCATTTTCAAATTTAGTTTTTTCAAAATGTTTGAAATTTTGCACATAAATCTGTTTTGCACTCTTGATTCAAAAAGTCAATAGGGTCCAAGGCTTATTTTTTACCCTGTTGCCGTGGCGACGACAAACGCTCCAGATTCATTGCAAATGTACACCTCACACAAACATCAAACTAGCCTCGGCCGTTTCACCTATTCGCCTCAAAATCGCTCCACATCATCTCAACACATGTACCGTCAAAATGACCTCAGGGATTTATGATCAGTGAAACGTTGTTTGAGCAGCGGAGCGGCAAATAGTGGCGTATTTTTTTTCAGTTTTTGACAATAGAAAAATGGCTTCCGTTTGGACAAACAAAGTCTGATTTGCACAAAACTTAAATCCATGGTTCAACTCTTGGGTCTAGGTCATTTGAAAGTTAAAATTTTGAAATTGGCTCTATAGCGCCACCTACAACAGCCGATTTAAAAATGCCTATGGGAGGGGTTCGAGGTCAAAATTGTCATAGAACCATGTAATTTGGAACACATGTTCCTCAAGTCAAGACATTGAACTTGTTTTATTATGGCTAAGCCCTCTGACAAACAGAAAGCCCATAAATTTCACTGCAAAATGGAAAAATGAAAAATAATCATTTTCATACATGTCGGTTGGAAAGCGACTCCTCCTCGGCCGTTTCACCGATTGGCCTCAAAATTGTTCCAAATCATCTCAACACATTTACCTTCAAAATGACTTCAGGGAATTTTGATCAGTGAAACGTTGTTTGAGCAGCGAAGCGGCAAAATGTGAGGGTTTTTTTGGCCGTTTTTGACAACATTAATTTTTTCCCGTTTGCACAAACAAAGTCTGATTTGCATTAAACTTGAATCCATTGTTCAACTCCAGGGTTTAGCAGGTGAAAGTGAAATATTTGAAATTGGCCCATTAGCGCCCCCTAAAGACTGAGCCAAAGTTTACATCGGGAGCCAAACCAGCTCTACTTATCATATTCATTCAAATTTGACTAACAATCTTCTATGACTACGGGAACAAATCATCACACGGCGGCGCCACCTCCTTTGAGCGGTGCTGCGTGGTACGGTGTGGTGCGGCGTAGTGCGGGGCGTTGTGGAGCGGCGCGTTGCGGCTTGGTACGGGACGGCGTGGTGCGGGACGGCGTGGTGCGGGACGGCGTGGTGCGGGACGGCGTGGTGCGGGACGGCGTGGTGCAGGGCGGCGTGGTGCGGGGAGTGCGCGCGGTGCAGGGAGTCGCGCGGTGCGGCGAGGGCCGTTCGACGCCGCTTGCGGCTTTAATTAGGCCCGAGCCCCGAACGGGGTAAGGGCCTATTGCTTTCACAATGGTGAAAACAAATGGTGGCGGTGCGTGACGGATGCGTCAGCGCCCGTCACTCACCAAAATGTGACAGTTGCGTGCGTAAACTCAAAAGCTTTAAAATGATGTATCACATGCCATTGAAACCTATATTGTTTTTGCTCGAGACGTTAACAAAAAAATTCCTTTTTTATTTATTTATTTATTTATTTCTTTCTTTTTTCTTCTGCACTTTGAGCCTTAATTTGACCCCCTGAACATGCATGAAAAGTTGTTAATTTTGGGCCAAAAAATCAGACCTGGCGAAAAATTTGATATTTTGGTGTTTATTTTTATGGGACTCAAAAAATGACAGAACAGCGCCACCTACAACAGCCAAAATAATACCCCTATGGGACTTTTCGGAGGTCAAAATTGTCGTAGAAACATGAGATTTGGTACACATGTTTTTCAAGTCAAGACAAGAAAAAAATATTATTATGGCCCCGCCCTCTGACAAACAGGAAGCCCATAAATTTCACTGCAAAATGGAAAAATGAACAGCAAAAGTTTTCATACATGTCGGTTGGAAAGCGACTCCTCCTCGGCCGTTTCACCGATTCGCCTCAAAATCGCTCCACATCATCTCAACACATGTACCTTCAAAATGACCTCAGGGATTTTTGATCAGTGAAACATTGTTTGAGCAGCGGAGCGGCAAAATGTGACCTTTTTTTGGCCGTTTTTGACAACATTAAATTTGCTCCCGTTTGCACAAACAAAGTCTGATTTGCACAAAACTTTCATACATTGTTCAATCAGGTTAAATGTGGGAAAACGGCCCCTTTAGGTCATTTGAAACGTTTACATGGGGAGCCAAACCAGCTCTACGTATCCATATTCATTAATTTGTGGCTGATCATTGCTACCTCCTTTTAGCCGGTGTGCGTGGTAACCGGGTGGTGCGGCGTAGTGCGGGGCGTTGTGGACTTTGAAGGGAGTTGCGCCGGTGCGGCGAGGGACAAGTTCATTAGGCCGAGCCCCGAAAGGGGTACAGGGCCTATTGCTTTCACAAATGGTGGAAAAAAAATGGGTGGCGGTGCGTGACGGACGCCGCTCTAGCGCCAGTCACTCGCCAAAACGTGACGGTTGCGTGCGTAAACTCAAAAGCTTTAAAATGATGTAGCAGTGCCATTGAAAAACCTATATTGTTTGGTGTCTCGAGACGTCGAAAAAAAAATTCCTTTTTTAATTTTTCTTTCTTTCTTTCTTTCTTTCTTTCGTTTTTCTTCTGCACTTTGAGCCTTAATTTGACCCCTGAATATGCATGAAAAGTTGTTAAATTTTGCCAAAAATCAGAATGGCGAAAAATTTGATATTTTGGTGTTTATTTAATGGGACTCAAAAAATGCCAGAACAGCGCCACTTACAACATCCAAAGATTAATACCCCCTTATGGCGTTCTGAGATGAGTTTGTTGTAGAGTCATAAAATGCGGTCCACATGTTCCACAAGTCAAGCAACAAGAAAAAAAATATTATTAAGGCTCCGGCCCTTGACAAACAGGAAGCCCATAAATGTCACTGCAACATGGAAAAATTGAACAGCAAAAGTTTTTCATACATGTCCGGTGGAAAGCGACTCTCCTCGGCCGTTTCACCGATTCGCCTCAAAATCGGCTCACTCATCTCTACACTTGTACCTTCAAAATGGACTTCGGGATTTTTTGATCAAGTGAAACATTTGTTCGCGCAGCGAGCAGGCAAAATGTGACCTTTTTTTGGAATGTTTTTGACAACATTAAATTTGCTCACGTTTGCACAAACAATGTCTGTAATTTTCAACATAAACTTTAATAATTGTTCCAACTCTAGGGTCTAGGTCCTTTGAAGTTAACATGCTTCAAATGACACAATAGGCCCCTACAGGACGATTTCAAGTTTTCTGGGCATTTCAATTTAGTTTTTCAAAATGTTGAAATTTTGCACATACATCTGTTTGCCTCTTGATTCAAAAAGTCAATTGGGTTCCAAGGCTTATTTCATACCCTGTTGCCGTGGCGACGACCAAATCGCTCCCCATTCATTGCTAATCTACACCTCACACAAACAATCAAACCAGACTCGGCCTGTTTCACCGATTCGCCTCAAAATCGCTCCACATCATCTAACACATGTACCATCCAAAATGACTTCAGGGAATTTTGATCAGTGAAACGTTGTTTGAGCAGCGGAGCGACCAAAAAAGGGCGTATTTTTTTTCCGTTTTTGTCCATTAGAATAATTGCTTCCGTTTGGCACAAACAAAGTTGATTTGCACAAAACTTGATCCCATGGTTCAATCTTGTCTTGGTCATTTGAAAGTTAAAATTCTGAAATTGGCCTATCAGCGCACTACAACAGCATATTAAAAATGCCTATGGGAGGGGTTAGATGTCAAAATTGTCGTAGAAACCATGTAATTTGGAACACGTTCCTTAACGTCAGACATGGGAAAAATGTTATTATGGCTAAGCCCCTGACAAACCGGAAGCCCATAAATTTCATTGCAAAATATGGAAAATGAAAACAATCTTTTACATAAACGTTGGTTGGAAATGCGACTCCTCCTCGGCCGTTTCAACCGATTTGGCCTCAAAATTGTTCCAAATCATTTCAAAACATTACCTTCATAATTACTTCAGGGGAATTTTAATCAGTCAAACGTGTTTGAGAAGCGGAGACGGCAAAATGTGAGGGTTTTTTGGGTGCTGTTTTTGACAACATAAATTTTTTCCCGTTTGCACAAACCAAAGACTGATTTGCATATAACCTTGAATCCATTGTTCAACTCCAGGGTTTAGGTCCGGTGAAGTGACATAATTTGCAATTAGAGCCCATTCGGCCCCTACAGATGATTCAAAGTTTACATGGGGCAGCCAAACCAGCTCTAAAAAAGCGCTGGTTTGGCTCCCCATTGTAAACTTTGACTCAGTCTGTCGGGGGCGCTAATGGGCTAATTTCAACTATTATCACTTTCCCCCTGACCAAACCCCCTGGAGGTTGGAACAATGGAGTCAAGTTTAAGCAAATCAGTCTTTGTTTGTGCAAACGGCGGGATACAAATGTATGTTGTCAAAAAACAGCAAAAAACCCTCACAATTTGCCGTTCCGCTTCTCAAAAACAAGTCTTGACTGCTTAAAATTCCGTGAAGTATTATGAAGGTAAATGTGTTGAGATGATTTGGGAACAATTTTGAGTCCAATCGGTGGAAACGGCCGCGGATGAGTGTTTCCAACCAACGTTTATGACAAATGATTGGTTTTTTCATGTTTCCATTTTGCAATGAAATTTATGGGCTTTCTGTTTGACAGGGGGACTTAGGCCATAATAACATTTTTCCCTGTCTTGACTTAAGAACTTGTGTTCCAAATTACATGGTTCTCTACGACCATTTTGTCCTCAAACCCCTCCCTATGATTTTTAATATGTCTGTTGTCGTGGCGCTATAGAGCCAATCTTCAGAATTTTAACTTTTCAAAATGACCTAGACCCAAGAGTTTGAACCATGGATTTCCAGTTTTTGTGCAAAATAAGACTTTGTTTGTGCAAAACGGACAGCAAATTTTTCACTTGGTCAAAAAACTGAAAAAAGAAATAGGCCACTTTTTGGCGCTCCGTGCTCAAACAACGTTTCACTGATCAAAATTACTCTGAAGTCATTTTGATGGTACATGTGTTGAGGATGATGTGGAGCGATTTTGAGGCGACACGGTGAACGGCCCGAGGTGGTTTGATGTATGTGTGAGGTGTTTATTTGCAATTGATATGGGTGGAGCGATTGTCGTCGCCACCGGCAAAACGAGGTTAAAATCAGCCTTGGACCCAATTGAACTTTTTGAATCACGAGGGCCCCCAACCCACAGAGTATTGTGCAAAAATTT